GTTAGCTGACCCATTTCTCCAGCACTTCTAGCTCACTTCTTGAATTTTAGTGCTTCACAGCCTCCTGGGAATATGGCACAAGGTTTTACTAATAATCTAGTTCACAGTGGTTTTGAGCTAGGCACCTTCTTCGCTTGATCCTGGTAAGAACCACCTGCTGATCATTTGAGATATGATTCATTGTAATCCAATAAATTAAGCACTTTGTACAAGAAAGAGTACACAGTTGAATTTTATTTAGCTCTAAGCTCCTATTTTTTTTCTGATATACTCAGCAATTATTTTAAATATCAAAGTATCCAGAAGACCTTGTAAAAAAAAGTCTTTTTAATTATCTTAAAGTATATTCAAAAAAATTACTCCATTTAAATGCAATTTAGTTCTGGTAGTTTGGATAAATGGCCTTTGTCCCTGAGGGCCATTAATTGCTCTACCAGCTATAACCAGTAATCGAATGGATTTTAGAGTGAAATGTAGCTAGAGCGATGTTAGTTGAGTGGGTTGTGGGTGTGCTCCATACAGAAAGTTGATTCTGGAGACCTGTCAGCTTTTAGTTTGGGTAATAGCAGAGATACAAAACAGGGCTCTATTCTAATATCTGCATTGATGGAATGATGAGATCTTCAAAAAGGTAATGTCTACTCTTTGAAAACCCATGTGAAAGTGATGTATAAATATCATAGGTACATAATAAAAATAGTCTTTCATAAAGGCTATAAGTAATGTTACTTGTTAATTATCTAAGCTAAAGAATTATAGACCTTACAAAAAAGAGTTCAACAGCACTTATGCAATTTAACCACAATAAGCCATGGAGGCAGAGATAGGTGTATGCACAGAGCATCTACTTTTATCCCATTCAACACTAGAAACTGGTTTATGTTGACAATTATAGGAGAAATAATATTTAGGTGTAATGTAGAAAATGTCTTATTTATTGAGAAGACCAGCTGAGTAAAACTAAGTGACAGGAACCATTCTTGCTCTGCTTCAATTATTTCATTTTATTTTGGTTTTGGTTTTGGTTTTTTGGTTTGTTTGTTTCGCCAATAAGATCTCCCTGTAGCCCCAGCTGGCCTGGAACTTAATATGTAGACCAGACTGGTCTCCCAATTGCTGGGATTAAAGGTGTGTGCCACCACACTTCCAGCTCCCTTACAAAAAAATTCAAACTGCTATATTTTCTTAGTTATATTAACTGTTATTTAAAATAAAAAACAAAGAATTTTAAAGTCTTTCATCATAATAAAATTATGAATCTTTGTGAGTATTCACATTCCTATCCTAATTTAAATTCTCACTTTTTATGTATATATCAAATATCTCAAGGTACTTCCATAAATCATGAATATGTGTCTTTTATGTATCAGTTTAGAAAGCGCAATCCCTGCGCTTGGGACGTAAAGCAGGAGAATCAGGACTCAGTGTTATCCTAAGTTACAATTGCTCTTTCAGGAGCAGCAGAATCTACATAAGACTATGTCTCAAAAGATATTTTTTTAAGATTCAGTTAATCTTCAAATTTCTAAAACTGTAACAATAAGAAACAGTAAAAAGCATGGAATGAATTCCATACTAAAACTGTTAGGGTCACAGAAATTTTTTTAATGATATTTAAAAAGGAAAGCACTTATTTTACCCATTCTAGCATATATATACCTCAACCTTGCCTTCTGTTCTGAAATATCAAAAAGAAAAATAAGGGCATGTTTTCATAGGAGTCATATTTTAATTTTGAAATATACATTTAAATGTATTTTTATTTTGAACAAATGTATTTGAGCATTGATAGCATATGCTTGAAAAAGAATATGTAACAGTAGGAAAATAAAAGGCTTCTCTGTTTGCTTGGGTCTATTATAGCACTATAACATGATTTATGATTCAACATCAATTAAATATCAGGTGTAGTTGATCTGGTTTCCAAACATGTGAAAGTACAGCAGGGCTTCTCTGAAGTCAAACATTAACCTTAAAAGATTTGAAAGATAACAGAGAATTATGACTATTTTTATTGTTGTCTGTAAGTGAAGGTCCAGGTCATGAAGGTTTTCGCAACTTTACGCACAGTGACTGGTTTGGAATTCACCTTCAGTGAGCTGCTACGTCTCAGTTTCCCAAATACCACCTGATAAAGCAATGAGTCAGAGCAGTGACAATCATCAAGTGAAGAAGGAGAGCTTCTTTCACTCCATTATGGGAAAAGAGATAATATTCATAATTATCATTGCTCAGCTCACTTATATCCGAATAAATATCAGAAATAGCATTGCACTCACAGTTTAGGGGAACAGCATTAAATACACCTTTGGAGTCAAACAGAATCCCCCAGTGACAATCTTTAGATCAGGTCATGGTGATATCTCTATGCTAGAGCTTCTATTGAGATAAAATTATTTTTATGAATGAGTTAAATGTCATAATAATGTATTAAAATATACCACTCAGTGGTTTGTTAAATCTAATCAGTAAGTGTAAAAAGGGGGAAAGAACACTAAAAGCCCTGAAGATGACACATTTCTGCTTAAATGGATCCAGTAGAAAGATACTTGTGTGTTCCATTTGCCCTGGAAGCCACCAGATAATCAAATCCACAAAGGGAAATGAGGAAAAAGATGGGAATCACCATCCAAAGAGTATGCAAGGAAGCAACATGGTTTTTAAAGGAAGCATAGTACATAATGAATGGTTACAGGTTACTTAACATCTCCTGGATGTTGGAAGAAAAAAATAACTGGAAAAGATTGTAAGAATGACTTGCTTTGTTATTGAAAATGCGAATCTTGAGGCTGGAGACATGGCTCAGAGGTTAAAAGCAGTGGTGCTCTTGCAGAGGACCCAGGTTCAATTCCTAGCACCCACGTGGTGGCTCACGACAATCTGAAGCGCCACTTCCAGGGGATCCAACACCCTCCCCTGACCTCTGGGGGCATTGCACAACATAGGTACACTTGCAAAAAAGGAGGCAATACACTCTTACACATAAAACAAAAATAAAATATTTTTTAAAAATGCAGAGGCAAGTGGAACTCTGTGAGTTCAAGACAAGCCTGGTCTACATAGTGGGTTCCAGGACAGCTGGGGCTACAGGAAGACCCTGTCTCAAAAAGACAAAAAAAATGCAAATCTGATTGTGTTATGCCCATATTTAGGCTTTTCACTGAATCCATATTTTCTGATGAATAATGAAAAAATCAAAAATTCCAAAGCTCAGTTTATTTTCTTGCTTTGTGTATGGTGCTGTTCTAAGTTGTTGACATTTTTTTGATGCAATGAATATTCTAAAAACCTTTTCGTTCCCCCATGGCACAGATTGGGAAAGTTTGGGAATGAGAAATGATTTATATGTGTAAGGCAACTTAAACATACTACTTAAAATTACACTTATTAAAATTACACATGAAGAAACTACATGGAGAATGAAAGAAGCACAGAAAAACCCACAGAAGTGACAGCATCATTTGTGATATTTCATGATATTAAGGATTTATGAAGTTTATTTCTAAAACAAGTGAAAGTTATTACATAAATAACTACTTTATAAGTATATGTTAGACTGGAAAAACTCTGAACAACACTGGAAGATTTTCTAATAAAATAGTCAATCAGTTTAAAGTTCTTAGCATTTATCCCAAATACAAAATAAAATAAGCATATTCAAAGAATAAACTTACTTTTAGGACCATGTACTGAAACTTACTTGTCTAAAATTATTTCATATCTACATAACACTGACTTTTATGGAGTTATAGAACCTAAGCCTAGAAATTCAACAGAGAACACTAATTCAGTTATGGTTGCTCAATGTCGTAACTGGTTAACAGTAAGTTTTAAATTATTATGTAAATTAATACAGCACATTTTATCAAATTAAAATGTCAACCTTATTTTAAGCATTTGCTATCAATCATCCTAAGACACCAGACTGTGAAAGAACTATTTAATATTGGGAATTTGTAACAGACTATATTTAACCTTGGTGTCAGGAAAGTTTAAGTTTGACAGAATTAAAACAAACTCTACAGCAAATGAGAGGTGCAATTAGACATCTCATGGCTCACACAAACCTTTTGTAATACTATTGCATTATCTATGCCATTCTGGGCCTATAGCTTATAACTGATAAAACTGAAACATAGTATCTAATTTGTATACAATTTGCAGTGAAGAATTAACATATACAGGTGTTCTATGACAATGTTTTTTCATGTTAGGAACATTTAGACAATACTCTTCATTTCATATTAAAGTGATAACTGAGGTCTCACTAATGCAAATATTGAAAGAAGTACAAGAGACAATTCCTTCTGTGTCATATATGTTCAATGTAAGAATGCCAAGATGCAAAGGATACGATGGGGAGTGAGTTGAAAAAGAAAACTGTTTTCTGAAATTTAGGCTTAAAATAACTAGATATGTAAATTAAATTTTCACTTAAGAAAACAGAGAACTTTTAAGGAAAAAATTATGCTAATTTTAAATTTGAAAGAGACCTGGATTCAGGAAATGCAAGTCTATAGAGCTCCCGAAAATATTTCCTGGTGAAAAATTCTATGACAGTAAAACATGATCTAAGAAACAGTGTAGAATTAAAAGCTTTGCTTAAAAGCACTCATATATTCATATTATGAAAGAAACTTAGAAACTTAATTTTGAAATATTCCGTTTATAAATCTGATGCTTCTATATGAAACTTTCTTAAGAATTAAAATTAATACTGAGTTCAAAAAATGAGGTATGGAATTTTTGTTAACATACACAGGTAAATGACTAGAATTAATATCTTTTTTTAATACAAGGCATTTTTTTACTTAAAGTATATTTAGTGTGTGTTGTCTGGGGCATATTTTAGCTATAATTAAGAAATTTTATAATACTTAGAGCTCTGATACTGTTCTATTGTGATGTTTTGGGATCTTTCTCCTTTAATGCCTATTTACAGAGTTGTTTGTAATGACATTGACATTACAGGTCTATCTTACACTGACGGACTCCATCCACAGACTAAGGACAGCAGCAGCATGGGACCAACCAATAAATCCCATGTCTCTCCCAGCACCTTCATGCTGATGGGCATCCCAGGCCTGGAGCACATGCACGTCTGGATTGGGATTCCCTTCTGCTCCATGTACGTGGTGGCTGTGGTGGGCAACGTGACCATCCTGGCCGTGGTGAGAGCAGAACGCAGCCTCCACGAGCCCATGTTCCTCTTTCTGTGCATGCTGTCTGTCACTGACCTGGTCCTCTCCACGTCTACACTGCCGCGCATGCTCTGTCTCTTCTGGCTGGGAGCCCATGACATCTCCTTTGAGGCTTGCCTAGTGCAGATGTTCTTCATCCACAGCTTCACTGCCATGGAATCAGGCTTCTTCTTGGCCATGGCCATTGACCGCTATGTGGCCATCTGTGACCCACTGCGCCATGCCACAATTCTCACGCACAGTCGCATTGCCAAAATGGGAGCTGCTGTGGTCCTGAGGGGAGTAGCCTTCTTCTCCCCACACCCCATCCTGCTCGAGCAGCTTCCCTACTGCAAAACTCACATCATTGCACACACCTACTGTGAGTTCATGGCTGTGGTGAAGCTGGCTTGTGTCGACACTGGAGCCACCAAGCGTTACAGCCTCAGCGTGGCCTCTGTCATTGGTTCCTGTGATGGGTTTTTCATTGCTCTGTCTTATGTTCTCATCCTCAGAGCAGTCTTCCATCTACCATCTAGGGAAGCAAGTCTTAAAGCCCTAGGCACCTGTGGCTCCCACGTGTGTGTCATCCTTGTTTTCTATTCCACGGCAGTCTTTACCTTCCTGACTCACCGCTTTGGCCACAATGTGGCCCCCCAAGTTCATATCCTAATAGCCAATATGTACCTCCTGGTACCTCCCTTTCTTAACCCAATTGTTTATGGTATTAGGACCAAGAAAATTCGAGACTGTGTTCTTAATTTTCTGAAAATAAAAATTGCTTGATGCTTCTGAAATTGTCTGTAGAGAGAGAGTAGCAATATTGGAAGGAAATTATTCCAGTGTTACTCTTTCATCATAATGGACAATAAGGTATTTTTCCAATGGATTCAAGACATTTTATTTTACTTCAATATGGAAGAATCTCTTCCGGTAATCGACATGTATGAATTCTAACGAAACTAGCAGGTGTATTTCGGGGGTATTTCCCTTTCATTGGTTTTACTTAGAACTTGCCCTGTAGTAAACCAAACCCGTTTACTATTTGTTGTAACCAAGGTGTGAAACAGCAGCATAGCAACGCACTAAAACTGAATGATTTTAAAAGGAAAGAAACACATGAAAATATTTTTTAAAAACATGAATAATGTATAGTTGAAAATTTTAAAACTGCTGATGTGTAAAAGTTACATAATAGATGACTTATTAGGATCTGAATACACACAACATTGAATACACTCGCAAGAATTGATAGAGAACAAGTTATCGAACAGTAAATGTAGAATGGTCCAACATTACAACAGTTAAGTCCACACATACATAAGCTCCCTATTTCTTCTAGAATATTTTCTCTGCATTAAGAGTAACTTGTGGACTGGAGATGTTGGTAAAGTGCTTCTTAGCCTGAATAAAGCCCTCAATTTATTCTGTAATACCACGTAACCCAGGAATGGTGGTGGTGGGGAACCAAAGTAGTTAATACCTGCTGTTGGATTTTTATCTGAACTAACACATGATCTCTTTGTACATGAAGCTCCTCAAAACTACTGTAATTTCATGCTTGACACTGTATGCATGTGTTTATGAGCAGAGATTACTCAAGCACCCTGAACTTGATTGATTTTTGCAGGTATCACATAGTATTACCTATTGTTAAAGAAAAAAATCTATTATAAACTAGACAGTTTACATTTTGGGATATGTTACATAGGACTGCCCTATGACCAGCAAGCTGTGGCTCCCTCTTCTAAGTTGGGTTGCACCTGCTTGCCTAGGATCATCAGAAAATTGTTGACTGTTCAAGCTCCGCAAGAAAGGAGGGGCAGGGAGAGTTGGCTACACCTCCCAACCAACCAGATGGCCCTAGGGGGAGCCACTAAGGGTAAATAATCAGAGGAAGCGATAGGGAGGCTCGCTTATCATTTTGCACAGCTGTGGGAAAGTCATGATTTCACCTGGAATGGAGATTTTCCAATATGGCTTTAGCGGCACCATCAACACTCCTATAAGTAAACCCTCACTCACTGCTCTATAAGTAAACCTAATAAGCTCATTGATTTCCAAAATGGCAGTTTGGTGAGATTGGCCCTCAGTTTGTCATAGGGACAAAAGGAAAAGGTGGGGCCAGATGTCGTTTGTGCTTCCTGGAAGGAATTTTATCTACAGGAATTTTTGAATATACTAAATATTGAAAATGAAATTACTAGTGATATATAAATATTTTTACTTTAAAAATGTGAACATTTAACTACCCTTAAAAATGTAGACTCTAGGGGCTGGAGAGATGGCTCAGCAGTTAAGAGCACTGACTGCTCTTACAGAGGACCTAGGTTCGATTCCCAGCACCCACATGGTAGTTATAACCCGTCCTTAACTCCACTTCCAGGGGATTCCGAAGCCCTCTTCTGACCACCGCAGCATTGCACAACATGGGTGCACTCACATACACGCAGGCAATACATTCATACACATAAAATAAAAATAATAAATAAAATATTTTTTTAAATGTAGCCTCTAGCTCCATTTCTAGGCACCCGCACAAGGTGGAACTTATTCCAGGGACACTCAATAAAATAAAGCTGAGTTTCAGTTAAGCAATGCTGTCTTTATAGAAATCTACAATTTTAAAATATTGTTTTCAGCTTTCTGTCCTCGTGTTTTGCTTTATGCTCACCTAGCAGCTCTTCTGTGTGCCTATCTGACGTCACTTCCTATACCCTTCCTTTTTAGGCTTCGTTAAGTACACTTTGCTAAGCACACTTGTTCAAGCGTTTACTAACCTCTGAAGCTAATTCAACAGTTTCTACTTTTAATTTCTATGCTGTGCTTCATGTTCCACATGTAATCATAGATGCCTTCCAAAACTAGATGATGGCCATAGATAGATGACAGATAGATCACAGAAGAATAGGTAAGTAGATTAAGATGCCTGTGAGCGTATGTGTGCCAATACAAGGCATTATCAATTGTTATTCCAGTTTCTTCTCTTGTTCCTACGCGTCCCTTTGTGCTTTTTTCTACCTCAGATGACTCACATCTGCATTTGAGACATAATACACTTCACATCTTCATGTCTTTGCTCAGAACTTTCCTCCCTTTCTTATATTACTTATCTAGTGGAACTATTCCTCAAGACTCATCTCCTACTAAAATTTCTCTAACTTTTTGAAAGATTATAGATCCTCAAATCATATTGACAAAAATCTCACCTTGCTAACATTGTGAAGAATGTCTTCACATTGTATATAACTCTTTTTATCTTCATTTTGTATAATTTTTATTGAATTTTTCTTAATCATCTTTACAACCCTCCCTCATCCACACCCTCCCATAGCCCCCCACCAGAGTTCATGCATTCCGTCACTTATGTTAAGGTCAATCAAATCAAGTTAGTGTACCTGGATATTCCTCAATGCAATTTCATCCACTGGGGTTTATCAACATATCTTGAGTCACTCCCTTAAGGAAGATCAGCTTGGGCTAGAAAGATGGCTCAGTGGTTAAGAACACCAGCTGCTTTTGCAGAGGACCTGGGTTTCAGGTTTAATTCCCAGCACCCACATGGCAGTTAATAGCCAGCCATAACTTCAGTTCCAGGGGAATCCAACACCCTCTTCTGACTCCATGGGCATTGTACAACACAGGTGTACTTACACACATGCAGGCAAAACACTCAAACTCAAAAAATAAAAATAAAAATAAATACATAAAAAATAAGATAAGCTCTCCCTCACCCAGAAATAATTAGCTAACAATAGTTCTTTGGCTAAGGTTAGATCCTACTGCGATTCTCCCCAGTACTACACTGGGTTTTTGTCTGGTAGAGTTTACATTGGTATTATGGATGCTGACACTTTGCTGTAAGTTCGTATGAGCAAGGTCCCAGGAACCTGTAAGCTATCTTTCCACATGATCGTGCACCCCCTCCCTGGCTCTTACACTCTTTCTACCCCCTCTTTCACAATGGTCCTTGAACTGTGGGTGGGTGAAGTTCAATATAGGAGTCCTGTCCAGGGACCCACACTCTGCAGACTCTTATTTTATATACTTTGTCCATTTTGGGCCTTTTGTGATCTCTGTTGCATGAAAGAACTTCATTGATAAAAGTTGAGAGATGCATTAATTTTCTCTATCCCTTGTTCCACTGTGTTCCATGAGCCTTAGGTGTAGAGATTCCACTGTAGATGTGTCACTTAGAATTGAGCATCTCACAGGCACTTACTCTCCGTGTGTGACCAGTTGTGGAACTCTGTAGAAGTCTCCTTCTGTTGCAAAAGAAGCTTCTTTGATGAGTGGTAACTAGCATACTTGTCTGTAAATATAAGGTCCATATTTAGCATTTAGTAAGAAACTGCATTTGTCTAGGTATTTGAAAACCTTAGTGTTTTCTCTAAGATCTATGACCTCTCCAGCCATGTGTATTTTTTATGTTTACAGTACCACCTAAGAGTTCCTTCACATTGAGTGGGCTTAAGTCAAACCTGTTAGTGATTTGCATAGTGTCCTTAAAAACTATAAGAGCTAGCTTCCAGGTCAGTTCCTGCTCCGTTGCTCCAAGTCCTATATATGAGGTATGCCTTGTCTTCAACAATTAGGTCTTACCTTCAAGTTCTGGGAGACAATCAAGGGCTGTGGCAACATCCTTTTAAATTTTTGAAGTCTCTTGGACTACCCTGACCAACAACTGAAAGAGAGGTTTCTTCTGTCTGGCACTGTTTCTTGTTATATAGTCTTCAAGTATACACATTGACTCATGTAGAGATATTGTATTTGTAATTTTTCAGTGGACTTTAAACCATATATGTTCACCCTCATTTTTGGATGTTAGCACCAAATACTTATGCAAGTATATATCCTGATATAACTGTAGGATGCAGGAAAATGGAAAGGAACCAAGGAGGTAAAGGGGCAGAAGGAGCCTGAGAGAGAGAGGAACAGTAGGACACAGGTGTCACCAAGAGGGAAATGGGTGAAATGAGACTCTTGAATTGGAAGAAGAGGGAGGGTTATACTAGGAACCATGGGGTAAAGGAGAAGAAGGAGCTCAAGAGAGGGGGGATCATAGGAGACAGGTATTATCGAGGATGAAATGGGGAAAATGGGGCACTTCAACTGGGGAGGGAGGGTTAGACAGGGAGAGAGAGAGGAGACATAAATAGTGCTTTGCAGGTATGAAAAACCAGAGGGAAATGTATTAATTCAAATTCTAGTGTAAATAACTCTTACTATGTCTTTTTGGCTTTCAGTGTCATTAAAGATTAAATAAACTACTTCTAAAGGTCTAGCACCAAGGCTCATTATTCATCTTATTAACTGTGTATATGAAGGCAAGTTGATAAAGTTATCTAGGACTTGCTAGAGTCAACAGAACAAGGGTCACAAAGTTTCCTTCCTGGCCAGGTGTTGTGGAACATGCCTATAGTCCCAGCACTTAAGATGCAGATTCAGGAGTTTCATCACAGTTAAGAGCCCAGACCAGTCTACGCAGAGAGTGACAGGCCAGCCCCACCCTAATATGTAGTAACACCCTATCTCAGAAAAAAAGACATTCAATAGAGAAAAACGAAGAGTATCTCCTTCTCAGTAGAGTTTTAGGTGTTGAACATGGGAAAACATTTAGGATAGTGATAATATTGTCACTTACCAAATACTAAGAAATAAATATTACTTAAGATTTAAGGAATATGAAAAGAAGGAAAATTTTATGCTCCTGTTAAATACTAGACCTTGTCATCTATGTATCAATATTATGTAGTGTGCATGTGTTGTGCTCGTTGTCTTTTATGTATAAATGTAGCATTTTTTAA